ATATAAAATCAATTAGTATCATAATACAGTATTGTTTATTTTGTTTTAAATGACAACTACCAACCTCATCAAAAAAATGTTTTCCTGGGATTACTTGAATTATTTAAACTTTTTAATACTACTAGTTGCCCACTACCTCCAAAATAACTAAACTCCTTTTTACTTTCATCATAATCAACAATACTTCCTCTTGTCCATGTAGCAGTAAAAACTGAACTAAATCCACCTTCAGTCAACTTTGTTATATCTTCAAATTGCTCAAAAGGTATCCATTCTAAAATATTGTCTGGCAGAGATGATTTCATTTGACATTGTTGAATAAAATTGTCAATTATATTATTTCCAGATGTCCAAGTGGTGAAAAGACTCTGTAATTGTAAATTAATACAACCTTCACAGAATCTATCAGAGTATCTTGTCAATTTACACTTGTTACATTCTTTTGGTTTCCCTTTTTTATACACTGCATTGTTTAATTCAAACTCATAAATAATCCTTTCTTTACAGTATTCTTTTTCAATTTCAGAAAGCTCCTTGTTTTTTTGGACTAATGAAAAAAAATATTTTCTACTTTCTACATCAGAATTAACATAAGCATTATCATACATTTCATTATGAATTTTAAATACAAATTCTTCTCTTTCTGGTGATAACGATGATAATAGCTTAACATATGACATTATATAAAATAAATTTTTTTGGTGTTTTAATGAATAGTTTTTTAAGAATAAATGTTGATTTATAATTCTTTTTTTCTTTGCAGAACGTGTAACAAATAATAATAATAATAGGGGGTTTTTTTGACAGTTAAATAGTTTATGAAAATAAAAGTTGCATCATCACCAAACTCTAGTGATTGATTCAATAATAAAAAGAATTTCAGATTTTTTTGTTTACTATTTTTTTTCATCCAGACCCGGCAGGACACTTTACCGACAAGTATTGTGGGATAACTAGCTAAAAATTTGGTTTTTTACAACAAGTTAAATCAACTGTTAATTAACCAATAACACCACTTATTATCCTTACTTTGCATCAAAAACAAGTTCATAAAAATACAATATAGATACATGTGTAATATATATTTTTTTTGTCAGATGAAATTGATAAAAATTGCATATTCATGTTATAACAAAAAAAAAAATTTAAAATGAAATATTATGGGCAATGCCCCAAAGAAACTTTATAGTTGATCTAATGTTATGGTCATTTAATACTGTTTGAATCTGTATTTCACAATTATGGTCTTGTGGTTTCTGTGGGGGTCATGGTGTTCCTTGCAAGACAATTTCTATGTCAAGTTCGACTTTACTTAGATTGTTGATAAAGTGTCCTGTTGGCAAAGTGTCCTGTCAGTAAAATGTCCTGTTGGTAAAATGTCCTGTCAGTAAAGTGTCTTGTCAGTAAAGTGGGTGTTGGTAAAGTGTCCTGTCAGTAAAGTGGGTGTCAGTAAAGTGTCCCAGACCCGATATCATCTTTGACATAACAAACAATTGCATCACCCAAGTAGTAATAACACCAAGGCCATGCATAAATGAAACTTTTAAGGAAACCTAATTTTGAAACAATAATGTGTGTCTACCCAGATTTCTGGTATCAAAAAGAAAAAAAGAAATCCTTTCAAATTGTATGGTTCCTTAAAAAACATGAATAAATCTGATGATATTAATAATATTAATAATAGGTGTCAGATTTAACAAAAATTTCCTATCACAAACATGCAGAACTGTGCAATTAAGCACAATTCAGCACTATGGAATTTTTTTCCACAGGTGAAACAGTCCTGAACATGTTGGAAGGCTTTTTCAAGATTGGCAAAGACTTTTCCCTTATCTTCCTCTCAGACCAGACTGATCTAGATGTTTATATACACTAACATTACAACTCTTTGAACAGGTTGCAAGCAACCTCCAGAGTGCAATTTGTTGGTTGCAGAGCCAATCATCTTTATCCTAGAGGTAGGATCATTGCAGATGACTTTTCAGTTGGACGCTGTGAAGGAAGAAGGTTAAGAGTCCTTGACAACAATGCAATCCTGATAAATTCCAGGCCTTACACCCCCCTTGGAATTCAATTGCATCACCATATCATCAGGGGCCTTGCAGTCAAATTAACCTTATATACATGGGGAATGTGAGAATGACTGTAATGTCTTCAAGGTAGCATGTGTCTCTTGACATTTGCTGATTTTCTGATAATCAAATGTCACATATTGATGTATTTTGTGTAATAGTCATGTTGCCTTGACATCTTATAATTATGTATTGTTATTTAATATTAGTGTTATTATTAATGTTGATTATGCAAAGCAAAATCATACTGATCGTTTATTATAATCAAGAATCTTGTAATAAATACCTAAAGAGACACTACAAGTTCTGCTCCGCATTCTGATTTCAATAATGTACATTTATATAAATAAAAATACACATATCAATACATTTATAAATATTAAAAAAAAAAATAAAAATAAAAAGTATCTCTTGCCATCAATAAACAGCAGGTCTTCAGAACATGCCAAATCAAACAACATTCACAATTTATCTTTTACACAAGGAAACATTTTTCAAAAAAAAAAACTTTGTACAACCCACACACATAATAATAATTGGTTGTTTGTACATGTTGATCCGGACCCAGACACTTTACTGACACCCACTTTACCAACAGGACACTTTACTGACACCCACTTTACCAATAAGACATGTTACCAACAGGACACTTTACAGACAGGACACTTTACCAGCAAGACACTTTGCCAACAGGACACTTTACCAACAAGACACTTTACCAACAGAACACTTTACAAACAGGACACTTTACCAACAAGTATTGTATTAACAATTTGCCAAGGACTGTGTGAAGACCTGGATAACTAGCTAAAAATTGGTTTTTTACAACAAGTTAAATCAACTGTTAATTAACTAATAACACCACTTATTATCCTTATTTTGCATCAAAAACAAGTTCATAAAAATACAATATAGATACATGTGTAATATATATTTTTTTTGTCTGACGAAATTGATAAAAATTGCATATTCTTATTTACAAAAAACCTTTTATTTTTATATACACAAAAAAAAATTTTAAAATGAAATATTATGGGCAATGCCCCGAAGAAACTTTATAGTTGATCTAATGTTACGGTCATTTAATACTGTTTGAATCCATATTTCACGATTACGATCTTGTGGTTTCTGGGGGGGGTCGTGGTGTTCCTCGCAAGACCATTTCTACGTCAAGTTCGACTTTACTTAGATTGTCGGTAAAGTGTCCTGTCGGTGAAGTGTCCTGTCGGTGAAGTGTCTTGTCGGTGAAGTGTCTTGTCGGTAAAGTGGGTGTCGGTAAAGTGTCCTGTCGGTAAAGTGTCCCAGACCCACTAAATAATTATTTTTATGAAATTATCTATATATTATTTATTTATTTTTCTTTTTTATGTATTTTTATAATTTTAATAAAGTTGTATCACGGGATTTTTGTAAAATTTGCCGATCTTTTTATATAGTGAAGTTTTTTGTCAAAACCAATTCTTTCTTATATCGAGCGCCGACTGTATAATCAGCATAAATAGTAGTTATCCCCCGCGAAGTGGGGGATAACGCCAAATTTCCCGTTGAATTGTGGCCCCGCAAGGGGACACAACTTCACGTGTGATTTGGTAAATTTATCCACTCCGAATGTGGGGGATAAGAGAGTTATCCCTCGCTTCTATTTAATGCATTATGTAGATCCTTGTGGTTTTTAAAAAAAGCTTATTTCCAAAAAAAATTTCTTGCTTTATTAAACGCCTATTTTTATGAAAAATGTTTACAACAGCAAAGGAAATCTATGGGCCACTGTTTTCTGATAAGAATAGTGGGTTATTATTTTTGTAATGGTAATGCTGTAATACTATATAGGCACTAATTGTACAATATTGATTTCCAATGAAATTGACATTATGAATGATCCTCTTGAAGAAACAATTACAAATGTCAAATCGATTAATTCTGAAATTGAAACCACAAATAATAATAATTCTCTTGAAGAAACTGAGGTCTTTTTGATAGAGTGGATTCTTTCAATATATTCCTATAATGTGGTTGGCTTGGTCTAATGACCTCATATTGCTGTGCCATGCGGCCAAATTTCAAAATAGCAATTTTGTAATTGTTTTAAAAAAGAATAGAACTCTACAACAAATATTTTTTTTAAGAAAATCTCTCTATTACATTAAAACTAAAGACATATTCTATCAACTAATAGAGCCATTTTTTTAAAAGGTAGGACAAAATGTGACTTCTATACTTTTAAAATTTGTCCAAAATTTAGGAGGTCTTTAGACTAAGCCAACTATATATTGTGAGATAGTAAAATAAGGACCGATAGAGAAGTCCCACGTTGCCGATCCAACCAAACCAAATTACTGCGTAAGTCACGTGATAATGTTATCATTTCTATTTTCATTTTTGTGAAACTATTGCGCTACACATCGCGCAGTATCACACCTACAATTATTCATATTCATATTCTATATTTATATTTAAAGACTAGTGCCGTAATCCAAAAAAGGAAAAAGTATGGTTGCAAAAGTGGTCGCAAAGGTAATTGCAACCACTTTTTATATGCCGTAAATACAATTACTACCATCATCATAATTTACAGCACTAGTCTTTAAAGGGATTCTTTGTCCAGACTTAGGGTCACATGGATGTTAAGCACAGAAAATGTACACCATCAATGTATGTTTTTTTCAACAAAATAAACATTTAAATAATTAATTGTTAAATATTAATACTTTTCTTTTCATAAA